ATTATTAGAACGACAGCTACAAAAAAAAAAAACAATAAGCCCACAAAGCTGTTATCATTCTGACGGATGACAGCCGTGACAGCGCAGTGGAATCCCAGAAAATAAACCATGGAACTTTGACCAATGAGAGAACAGTTTACTCGCGTGTGACTTGTATTAACAAATTTGGTCTGTTTAGAAACTTTGCCATGTGAAAGCGAACCGCACCAAGAATAAAAAGCAACATTGTAATAATTTGAATCCCTTTTTCGGAACAAAACAATCGATCTACAGGTGTGAAAGCACCCTTAACCACTGATTTCTAGTTGTGTCCTCTTTTGGAAGGCCAAACAAAGTAGTTTCGCTTTCACAACGAAACACAGTGTCTCCACGACATGGCGGCGGAGGCAAGAGAAAGGAAAACTTGAAATCGCATCATATGACCCCTTTAAAACTATCATTGCATTTTTCCCAAATGCCAAAATTGTACAAAATGTTTCCCTTATTTGTATGTTTAAAAATATTTCAAACATTAATATTATAATATTCTTTATGCATTTGAAATTTTGCAGTGTAAATGCATCTATGGCACCTCAGCTTCATCAAACAGTCTCTGTAAATACATCTAATGCCACTTCAGATGCAGCTTCTATGTTTCCTGCAGTGGAAAGATGGAGTTTGTTGATACTGCTTTCATTTGAATGGTAACAACTCTAAAGTTTCTTATTATTTTAACTGAATTAATTAAAAACAATGTAAGAATTTGATGTGAAAGATGACATTTAATAAGGTTAGTGAAAAATGACAATTTAAGAAACAGTGGGAATAAATGACATCTGTTTTGTTAAATAGTACAGCAACTCCTTTTCAGTTAATTGTTATTTCTACCTTTTTTCTAGTCATAAAGCACTTTATTTTGAGAGTTGTTTAAGTGAGAGAACATCTGTAACTTTGTCCAGATTGGGGGAATTGTAATGTTTATAAATGACTAATTCATTCATTCATGTTTAATAATTTTTTATTATGTAAATATTTTTTTGCATTAAAGAAAGTATAGATTTTTGTTTGTATATGCTGTCAATTATAGTTTTTAGAAAGAAAATCGGAATCGGCAAAAAACTGTATCGGCAGGTCACACTTACAAAAAAATCGGAAATCGGAATCGGCCAAGAAAATTGCAATCGGTGCATCTCTAGTCAAAATTATAGATTTTTCTTTTATGCCAAAAATCATTAGGATGTTAAGTAAAGATCATGTTCCATGAAGATATTTTGTAAATTTCCTACGGTAAATATATCAAAACTTAATTTTTGATTAGTAATATGCATTGCTAAGAACTTCGTTTGGAAACTTTAAAGGCGATTTTCTCAATATTTTTATTTTTTGCACCCTCAGATTCCAGATTTTCAAATAGTTGTAACTCAGCCAAATATTTGTTAGTCTTATCCTAACAAAAAATATTTGTTAGTCCTATCCTAACAAACCATACATCAATGGAAAAGTTGTTTATTCAGCTTTCAGATGATGTATAAATCTCAATTTTGAAAAATGTACCCTTATGACTGGTTTTGTGGTCCAGGCTCACATATATGACCAATGGCAGCTCAACTGTTGCGCTTAACACAAGAACAAACCTTATTGGTTCTTGGAGATGCTCAAACATATTTGCATGACATGTGAAAATTCAGAAATTCATTGGATTTCTTTCACAGTGTCTTTATCAACTTTTTTATGTTTTAAAGTTTTGGTGGAATGGACTTTCAATGGAGGCACACTTTGGGGCGTATTAGTAAGAAACCATGTCAGATACAATAGATGCCATGTCTGAATTTGTTAAAATTAATGATTTTATTTTTTCATTTACAAGTTGCTTGTACGAAATAGCATAGTATTGTACAATTAAGATAAAATACATAATGACTGAATTTACAGCACATTCATAAATCGAACCAAAACAACAACAGCGAAAACATCTGATGCACATTCTCTATTCATTTTGTAGATGTAGAGTTAAAAAAATGTGTTGAATTGTATGCATAAATGGTAAATACGAACTTCCCCAGTACGTGAATGCATCATAACTAAAAGAAGACAGATTTTAAATTTTTGGGGAAACTAACCCTTTAATACAAAGGTTATAATCAATCCTCGCTTTTATCCAGCCAAGGTATGTAATACTTGCTTGTTTGTCTGCATTTTTCTCTATTTCTCCAGGCTCCAGGAAGATGGAGCATAAGGGGAACAGCTGGCATGAGACCTGCTTTACCTGCCAGCGCTGTCAGCAGCCTATTGGAACCAAGAGCTTCATTCCTAAGGACAACAATAACTACTGCGTGCCCTGCTACGAGAAACAATTTGCACTGCAGTGTGTGCACTGCAAGAAGGTAAGAACCAGAATGCAACATTTTACATTGAATAAAAAGTATTATATTTGACATCACACCTTTATCACTTCCTCTCAGCCAATCACCACTGGAGGTGTGACCTACCATGACCAGCCTTGGCATAAGGACTGCTTCTTGTGTACTGGCTGTAAGCAGCAGCTCTCTGGCCAGCGCTTCACCTCTCGTGATGACTTTCCCTATTGCCTCAACTGCTTCTGCAATCTGTATGCCAAGAAGTGCGCTGCCTGCACCACCCCTATTAGTGGTATGAGCAACCAACACATTTACATCTCCTTATATTTGGAAGGTGCTTATCAGGACCAAATGGAACCTAAACACAATTAACATCTTGTGATGAAACAGAATAGTGACAGATTCCTTCTATATTGTGACATATATCTGATTAAAACAGTTAATCAAAAAAAAATATCCAAGACTTTATTTCTTTATTACAAAAAAAATGTTTTTTTTTGTTTGTTGTTTTTTTAAAATCTTCGCCACTTTTTTCAGTGAAATTGAATCAGGTTTTGGGCTATGAAAATTGACAGAAAAACACCATGACTTTATTATAAAAGAAGTCCGTATGAAAATGTGTGCTATATTCCTGGTGTTCTGAAGCCATACAATTGTGATTATGCAAGACACAGACCAAAATTGTCTATCACTTTTATGATATTTCTATTGTGCTTTTTGTCATTTTGGAGATGTTGACAGACTATTTGAATTCTAATGTTAAATTCTAAAGTCCTACAGGTTTTGAATGACATAAGGTTGAGTAAATAATGATAGGATTATTTTGGTGTTGAAATCATGCATTTCTGACCTCAGGAACTGTATGAGTCTCACAGCAATCTTCTTGTCCACACTTTAGCAAACAATAGTCATATTTCCCATGATATTACTATCAGAGGCTTTGTTATTTGTTACTGTCATATCCTTTGCAGGTCTGGGAGGCAGCAAATACATCTCCTTTGAAGAGAGACAGTGGCACAATGACTGCTTCAACTGCAAGAAGTGTTTGGTGTCCCTGGTGGGCCGCGGCTTCCTGACGGAGAGAGATGACATCCTGTGTCCTGACTGTGGCAAAGACATCTGATCAGCACTGCAGTTCCTAACATTTTATTCTTTTATTAAATAGCTTATATTCTTAGAGTTCATTAGCAAAGCTTTTATCAAAGGTAATATATTTGTCTAAAAAAAAGTTCTCTTTAGATAATTAACTTTAAAGGGGCCTGTGCAAGCCAAGGCCTATTATTAACAAGTGACCTGACATGTGGCCAAGTATGGTTACCCATACTCGGAATTAGTGCTCTGCATTTAACCCATCCTAAGTGCACACACACAGCAGATATTGTGTCATGATTTTGTGGTCGTTAGTCAAACCAAAAGAAACATATGCAGTGTGAAAATCATTTTTATTTTAGATATAGAGACATAAAGCACAAGGAATATTACATTTTATAGTATACTTGCCTATTTTACCTTTTTTTGTGACTAACATTTGCTTTTGACTCATCAATCAATATATATATATATATATATATATATATACTGCACATCATGTATAGCCTGTGTGAAGAATTTGCTGGAGCTCATAATGAACTTCTTGAAAAGACATTCATGTAAGGCTCAGTACTGCTTACAGGAGATTGCTATAATAAAAAATGACTCCCATTCAATGCATTTAGTCTAAATATGCCTCAGCTGTTCCTTCTTATCTTTCAGTGAAACCCAAAGGTCTGATTCATCATGCATCTGTCTCTGTAGTTTATTAAAAGCAATGTAGGTTTATTATACTCAAATCTCACTGGGGGTTGGATTTGGAAATATGGAAAATATTTCATAGATGGCAGTATATTAGTAATATTATTATAATGTATGTTTATTTCACAGACCCTACTTACTAGTATTGATGTCAATTCTGACCTATTCCATGAATAATGAGATTACTCTGGCAGGCTACAAGAAGATAATATAGTGAAATTATTAAGATAGGTTTCCACCCTTACCAAGGAATATTATTATTATTATTATTTTACCATGGTTGTCTTCAGATGTTGGATCAGTAGATTACTGTAGACGAAATTGGCTTATATCTCCCCCTTGTGGTAAAAATGTAGATTAAATTATCTGTTGTCTGCAGAAAAATGTCCGATTCCTCAATCTTACCATGGTTGTCTTCAGATGTTGGATCAGTAGATTACTGTAGACGAAATTGGCTTATATCGCCCCCTTGTGGTAAAAATGTAAATTAAATTATCTGTTGTCTGCAGAAAAATGTCCGATTCCTCAATCACTTAAACTTAACGTTACATCTTTGTTTGTAGTCCGTATTTAGCGACTTTTGACCAAAAACAAAACGAAAACAAACAAACAAACAAAAATAATGACATCAGAATTCACGTTTGATGTTCTACTGTTTATTATGTTGTAAAATAAAATGTGAATCGAAACCGTAAATTAATAATAATAATAATTGGAAATCCCGAAGGAGCCCATAACTTGAAAGTGCGGATGTTTTCTTAAAAAGGACTACAAACTTAAATATCTAACATTCTAACGAAACTCCATAAATTAAGAATAATTTACTGAATTTTTAAAGAACTTGTTTTCTGTTTTAACGACATTAATGCTAAAACTACATTTATTATGCAACCCTTTTCGGGTTCAGATTTAATTATCATAAACGCTTTCAAATAAAAAGCCAGCCCAGAGCCCACCCTCATCACGTGGCCGGATGTATTTCGGCGGAGAAACAGGAAGCGTTACCGCAGGGAGATCGAGGGAGGTGGAGTGGGGCGCTTGAATGAAACGGGCAGGCCGTGAAAACACTGCCATCTCTCAAATCAGGACCGCACTGGCCACGGCTGGGGTACGATGTGCGCTCGGCTTTCTTTAACATCACCTGCTCTCTCTGCATGCCGCACCACACAGACATACACACGACCAGACACGTAGGCTGTGTGTTAAACCCTAGCGGACTGTCTACCAGCACAGCTTTAATGGCATAATAGGCGCATATTCGAAAAAACCCAAAAGGAATATTTTTAGATGGGCATCTCAATAGGCTTTGAAACACAGCCATAGCCTCCCATGATCATCCGTGTGATCAAATCACTTCTGTCTGTCGTTCATATAAATACTCATGCTGGGCTGGTGTGAATGTGAAGCTGGTGCTGGTGATTAAAAGAGGAATTAAGTGTTGATTCTTCTTGATATGGTTTTGCTAGCGTAGTCTTTGGCTGGTTTGACAGAAATGTATCTCGCATACAACTTTGTATTTCTAAAAATAAATACCTTTTGCGTTTTGTAGAGGAACGGGACAGGTCTGTAATGAACCTGTGTGTAATACAAACCACAGGTTGATAGGCACCTGTTTTTATGCTTAAATGTCAGAGCTGGGATTTATTGCTTTAGAATATGCTAAATCATACCAGTAAGTGACACTAATAAGCCATTTTGCGTTTCTGTTTACAATATTGTTCATATTTGTTGTCAGTGCATGTCTAAACTGAAGGTTTTGTTTCTGTTTTCTCTTTCTTGCCACATCTTGGCAAAAGAGACAACAGAAACAAAATCCTTTAGTTTAGATTTGCACTGACAACAAACGTGAACTAAATTATAAAGCATATTTTAAAGACATTATATTAATAACAAAAGCTGAAATAATAACAAAATGATTAGTTTAGACTTGTACAGAAAGACAGAAAAGGAAATGTTCATTATATTGTTTGCATAACGTTTTTTTTTTGTCTTTTTAACATGTATACTATTATGATAATTAATGATAAAATGTCTTTATAATATTCTGTATAATATTGCTCATACTTGTCAGTGCAAGTCTAAACTTAGACATTGACTTTGTCTTTGTTTTCTCTCTCTGTAGATGTGGGTGGCATCATGAGCGTGAAAGCTTTTGAGCTGGTTCCCGCCGTGGAGCGGGAGCAAGTAATGGGTGAAAAGGTGCGGATAAACATCGAATGCATAGAGTGCTGCGGCAAACACCTGTACCTTGGCACCAATGACTGCTTCATCCATCACTTCCTACTAGAGGAGCACACTACAGCCAAAGGTAAGCTGGCCTATAATGTCCAGAAGCTCCTCCACAAATACCTGGGCCTGAAGAAGCCAGTGGCAGAGCTGAAGGCTGCCTCTGCGTTGGAGCGTCTAATTGTCCTCTGTGACTCAAGGATCACTGTTGTGGACATGGTTACTCTGGAGCCTGTACCCACTGGCGGCACAAAGCTCAAAGGTGTGACCGCGTTTTGTGTCAACGAGAATCCAGTGACGGGGGACGTGTTCTGTGTGGAAATGGCAGTGGTTTTGGCACGCAGACGGGCCGTCCAGATCTGTACGGTCCATGAGGACAGAGTGCAGATGTTAAAGGAAGTGACCACACCAGAGCAGCCCTGTGCCCTGAGCCTGGACGGATACAATATCTGTCTAGCCCTGTCCACGCAGTATATGATTCTCAACTACAGCACAGGAGCCTCTCAGGACCTGTTCCCTTATGACTGTGAAGAAAGGAAACCCATTGTGAAGAGGATTGGCCGGGAAGAGTTTCTCCTGGCTGCTCCAGGCGGCCTTGGTGAGTTAAATGACCAAAAATGGCATTGATCAGTATGTACACATCGACCTTCTATTTGAATTTTAATATAAGCTTGCGCCAGCAGGAGGCTTTTCTTTTCCTTATTGAAACATTTTAGTCATCAATGATATTTCGAGGATCTTCACTGGAAGTTTTCAGTCAGATCTGTGACTGAATATTTAGATATTGTCATAACTTTTGTGGTTTAGGTCAGGAGATATCAATATAAATTAAAAATGTATTCTTGGATAAATATAACATTCATTCTGAAATATGTTTATAGTAAAAAATAGATTCTGCTGTCAGTGGAGTGCAGCAGTGATGACTTTTGTTGTAGGAAATTAAGTTTATGATTTTTACCATCAAGATAATCTTTACAAATAAACAACTTTTATTTTTAAACCTAAAAATAATCACCTGAAGTAAAAAGCTACACGTAAGCTATAACCGAACAACACCACGGTCGCATGACTAACGTCACCGCCGTTACCGTTAAGCTTCCGACAACTCCTTCAGTCTCTATTAAACAATAAATAAATTCCTGGACGGTTTGAGTTAGAATTGTTTGCAAGAGTGTGATTAGTGAGTAGATGAGTTTACCTGTTTTGCATGATGTTAAATGTCCCCACTTAGCCACTTGTAAGCAGCCGGCTTTTTCAAGACAATTACTGATGAAGTTCATGTTGAAGAATAAAACATGAAAATATCTTGTGCTTATGTTAACCATAGACCTTATTTCAGGCTTTTAACCAAAAACCCATTTAAAACCCCATTGACTTCAGAATAATGGAACCATATATGTGAAGTGGTTGTGGCTTACAAAAATATGTCACCTCTGCAAGAGATGCAAGCCAGTAGTACTTTTTTTTCCTCCCCCTTTTGGACTTTGGAAGATAGTGTTTGTGGTCTAAATTCTCAGTGAGAATCCCTTTATATTCGCACTAGTGCATTTCAGAAGGAAATGCCTGAGGACTCTGTATCATGAATTGTTTTCTATGGCGAATGCATCTAGTATTTGTTTGTTTGTCATTTTTATTACAACTTTAGCCGCACCCCACCCGAGATATGAATCTGTCTTCTCGGCTATATCTGTTGTCATGGCAATCACCCGTGATGAGTCATACATCTCTGTATCTTTATCTCTCAGGGATGTTTGCTAACGCGGAGGGCATATCTCAGCGTGCTCCGGTGAGCTGGTCAGAGAGCGTGATTGCGGTGGCTGTGTGTTTCCCGTATGTGGTCGCTCTGGATGAAGGCTTTGTGACAGTTCACAGCATGTTGGACCAGCAGCTCAAACAGACGCTGTCGTTCAGAGATGGACACCTTTTACAGGATTTTGAAGGTAAGAGTGCTGCCCCATACATTTACCATTTATTTAATCCTTACGCTATTAATTGTTGGTACTGGTGACATTTAGGCACAGTGTACCTATTTGGCATGTAGTCAGTCATGAAAATATGGCTTTCCAGCATTCCAGAGCCAGAAAAGATTTATTGACAAATAGACTGGACCTACAGTAGAAACATAAGGCAGGACAGGATATTGATAGACTGTGTTTTCAATTACATCTTGTTAAATGTGGGGGTCTGCTCTATTTATAGCATATTCACATTCACAGTCAAGCAAGTCGCGCTCTCTGCGTTCTTTGAGGTGAAAACTATGACTTCTCTCTGATGATGTATGCAGAACGTCTCCAATCATTTGTTTAGTTGGGCTTCAACTCAGATTTTCAGTGTGGA